TCCCCGATGTATAACTGGTCGCAGTCCTCCTGGCACTTAACAGCATATACAACATTGCTCTGTTTGTGCCTCTGTTTGTCACATGGAGGCAGGGCTTAAAAGCCTGAATTTTGCCTGAAACTCTCTGACTGAAGAAGTCTCTTGGAGGAGAGACGAAACGTTTCATTAGAGAAGAACCCGTCCAGAAGACCTATACAATATTTTTCTTTTTGATTTTTTTACCTGGATTACTGAGATGCATCAGGACATTTCCTTAGCTGTTCTTGGTTCCTTATTGCTTGTGCAGTAGAACAGCCAGCAGAAGACATTCACGGCTGAACAGRAGTCCAAATCTAAAAGTGCACACTGTCACTTTTTATGTTGTCCACGAGCAAAATGACATGCAAAATTGTATTTATCTACACACATATGACCACAGATGTTGCACTGGAATGGGTGGTTAAAACCATGACAGCCCATGTGGATGGTGTAGAGTATATTATCAGAAAAGTGAATATCACAATGCTGACATTTCTGTAGSAGCTGTTGGTCCGTTACAGTCGGGGCCGGGGTGGGTGTGCTCGCCTGGCTGTTGCTAACACTCCCGGTGAAAGTGTTCATGTTGTTCTCCAGACTGAAGGCTGGAACTGGACTGCTGCTTACGTGAGCTGAAGGGGACGTTTCGTCTTTTCGGGGCGATGTCTGAACTCCGTCTGAACTCACTGCAGCCTGTTCACTGGAGACGTGTTGGATCAGGATGGGTTTCTCGTCTTCTAATGACTCTCCGTCAGGTGACGCCGGAGTCTCCGGTYCAGCGTGAAGGTTGGTCAGCTGACCGGCGAGCGCAGACAGCTGGTCCAGGGAGTTTCTAAAACCATTCGCACTCCGGCCGTAGCTTTCATTCTCATCCGCCTTGGGAGGATTTTTATACTCGCYGCCATTTAAGTGGTGGATCTTGTTCGCTAAGTCGCTCAGATACTCAGACCTTGGCGTCGCCACGGAGAGAGGATTTAAGCCGACCAAGAGCCGCCGACCGAAGCCCAGCGAGCCCGTCCGCTTCTGCAAAGCGCTCAGCACTCTCTTGTTGGAAAACGAAGGACGAACCACTCTCGTGGGAAGGAGCTTGTGGCGGCGGCGGCGGTGGTGGGACAGGTTGCTGCGGTCGCTGCACCGGAAGGCGCAGAGGTCACACTTGTACGGCTTCTCTCCCGTGTGCGAACGCATGTGGGCCTCCAAGTGGCGCTCGTACGCAGAAGCAAAGGGGCAAAGCTGACAGCGATGAGGCTTTTCACCTGAGTGAAGAGAAATTTATAGTTTTAGCACTGCTGCGACCAAGAATGTCATGAAATGTGAACATACACAACAAAGTTGAAACATTTCAAATAAATAAAAACGGATTGCAATGATTAGAAAAATCTCATAACCCCATATTTTATTCAAAATTTTATTTTTTTCCCCCAGCTTTTTTTAAATTAGAGTTGTAGTACATCAACTGCCTACCTGGTTGGAAGTGTTTTCAGTGCAAAATACTGTTTTTGTGGTAAAGTATATAAAACTAAGTAAGTTCATTAAATAAGCAAGTCATATCTTACCTGTATGAATGCGTGTGTGCTCTATTAAACGAGCCATGCCTTTATTGGCATAGCTACAGTAGCTGCATTTATAYTTTCCATCGCAGGTCCTCTCCAGGTCGTCCATCATCTGCACATCTGACCCAGGCTCCACAGGCAGGCTCACCTCCACAGATGGGGGGTCCAGACCRTTCTGCTCACATCTTGGGACAACTAGAAATGCACACACATTTATTTCATCATCTTAATGTGTATTTATTTGGGACTTTTTTGTTTGTTTCTGCTGTCTACTGCAGTCCTCACCAGCCTGAAACTGCTCGGTTGTTTCCTTTGCTCCACAAACGGAGCCCGAGATCATGTTGACGTGCTGAGTTTGCTGGGTCAGGTATTCCTGAAATTCCCTCACAAAATCCACAGGCTCGCTCTTTATCTCTTCCATTTTACTTAACCTTGATTAAACACGAAAACATCCAAATACGATGCCGATACGTGTCCCGGCTGGCAACCTGCTAAAAGCTAGCTCTTGGGTTGCTATTATTAGCATTAGCGCTAACATTTCTTAGATACGACGTATTTTCTTTGAATGTTTCTTTTTTCTTTAAAGCTCTTGGCAAACATCTGCTTTCGCATTCCAGCTTCTAGTCAACATCGAATTAATGCCGAGCATATGAGGTTCATCTTTGTTTTTACTGTGTATAAGTACCGTTACCCAGTGTCTGTTTGCTTCCGTCTTTACTCAAACGCAACTGTTGCTTTTGTGTACCATCGGAATAAATCAAACTTACGTTTTAAAATATGTCAGAAAAATCGTTCACAGATTTTAACATTTTTCCCATTTTGCGTATCTTTGTTATTATTAAGTAATTTAACTATTTAACTCGATTATTTCTTGTCCCAATTTATACATTTACAAGAATAAATCTTGAATTTCTTACAGGTTCCGTACTCCCGTGAACGCAGCACTGCATAGCCCTCTGCTCCGTCGCGTAAACATTTCACAGCAAACCATGGCTGCGCCGTTAAGTAGGATTGTTGCAAAGGTAAGACTGTATATAAAGTCTTTATTATTATATTTTAACCTGTTTTTCTATAAACAGTCAACAGTTTTCATCTTGCCGTGCCATTTTGTCTACTTGCTAGCCTCTTTTTTTAACACGTATGCTAATGCTAGCACAAATAACCTTTCATAACAAGCTTGTAGCTGACATAACTGCCAAGTTCCATGTAGATATATGTCCAGAACCCGTATGTCACTATGTTTTTGTTTACAGTCCCTCAGACAGATCCCTCGTCCATCATGGAGAACTTGCCAGTCTGGAGTCRGGAGCAGGGCCATTTCTTCCCCAGCTGTGGAATCCCATCAAGCAAGTGGAGTGTTCTCCTTTCCTCCTCTTCAAACATATTCAGAGGAGGAGAGCATGATGAGAGAAGCAGGTGAGCAGGAAAAYTAATGCCATGCTTCTGCAAACAGAWCTTTCTGTCACACTAAACTAACGTATTGTTTGTTGACAGTGAAGAAATACGCACAGGAGCGCATCGCCCCCCTTGTGTCAAAGATGGATGAAAATTCTGCCATGGATGAAGAAGTCCTGAAGTCCCTCTTTGAGCAGGGAGTATGTAATTACTTTAAAACATAGTGAACACATGCTTTCATTCAAATAATGTATTTTTTAATCATTGTAGCAATGCTTCCCTTTTTTTTTTTTTTTAATTTTAGCTCATGGGAATTGAAATAGACCCAGAGTACGGTGGCACCGGCTCCTCATTTTTCTCCTCCATCCTGGTTATTGAAGAGCTGGCGAAGGTGGATCCCTCTGTGGCTGTGCTTGTTGACATCCAAAACACACTCATCAATGTACTGTTTGCTAAACTCGGAACCCCAGCTCAGAAAGAAAAATACCTGAACCGACTGTCAACAGACATGGTGAGCAGATTAGCATTTTAACCGAACAAACTCATATAAAACAACATTTTGTCCTGCATTCCAACCTTTTTTTTAGAAGTTTCTTATTTCTAATGAAGATAAAGTTTGCACCAGTTGTATTTTTCTTTCTTGCTTGCTTTCTTGCTTTTCTTTCTTTCTTTCTTTCTTTCTTTCTTTCTTTCTTTCTTTCTTTCTTTCTTTCTTTCTTTCTTGCTTTCTTTTCTTTCTTTCT